GGCCTCGGCAGCCTCTTTAGATGTTGGCCAGCCTAAGGCAGCAAGTTTGTCATACGGCGTTAAAAGTTTGGCCTTTGCACGCTGAAGATAGAGCCCTGACTGTCGCCTGAACGTCGGTAGTTTGCCACTGGTCGCGCTCCATGATTTCCATTCCAAAGAGTCTCCGAGAAAGTAGACAAGGTTTGGGTCAGTCGGCCGCTTGTGAAACTTGTTGAAGTAGGCGCTGTCTAAGCCGGCCACCAGCTCTCGCTCGCGGGAATTCAATATGTCACCGACACACTGCCATTCCTGGGCCCAATGTGTCGGAAGCCACAGACAAAAGAAACAATGTCCATTGAACATATAATGTGATGATAACAGTTCATTATACATTATGTTTGTTGTTAGAAATATTCTTTGAATGAGACATTAAGCTTGAACTTCAATTTCTGAGCGAAGTCAAGATGCTGAAAGTTTTCTTTTTCGGGCAATTGACTCTAGCTGCATTTGGGTGTGGACGTCACTTGATTGAAAATAGTCCTGGCACTCAGTGGCAACTCTCCGTGTAATGTGAGACTTGATCACGTCGTACATGTGAAAGCAATCATAGAGATACTCACCAGTCCGGTTGTGGCAACAGTAGATGTACGTCCGCCTACGTGCAACCCCAGCATGGCCAACATCAGATGGGTCGACGAAGAGCTGGTACAGCGTGTAGTCACACAAGATGTTCTTCAAATCTTTGAGTGGGATATCCTTAGATGGGATTGAAGATTGGAAGGCCCACAGTCAATTGATGATATAGTTATTATATAGTGGTCTATTTTTTCAAGCTGAAAAATCAGCGGTCAGGCCGAATTGAGCTAAGTTTCTGGAGTGTTCTCAATGATCAATAGGGGGGTCTCCAGATCTACATGGCGTTTTGCCCAAGCCAGGTTTTCTGTGCTGTTCTTGCCCTCAAAGAAACGGCGGTTGTGGTTCGCTCTGCTGTTGTCTTGGCACGGTAGCCCACTCACATCAAAATCAAGTGGCACCATAGAAGGGCAATAGCGTGCGTGTGTGTGGCAGAACTGTTCATGGGAAGCTTGGAGTCTGCTCGCCTGACCCCACCGCGCAAGGAATGGCAAACGTGGGTTGACTTGATCCAAGGAAGCCTGGTCCCTCAGATCTGCGAATATGTGCGGTACAGACCGTCTCCGGTCAGCCCACTGCTGGGCCCAATGATGGTTGTCTATGATTGCTTGACGGCAATGTGCATCTATTTCCTGACACAGAGTCATAGGAAGCAAACCGGCCCCGAGAGTATTTTCGTTAAGAAAGATCTAGCGGAAAACAGCCAAGCAAAGTCAAGGTTCGTGGCAGCAGTAGCTGTCAATGTCCACCACAAAACGGAACAGCTGAGATTCATTGCATGCCTTTTGGATAATGGCTGTTGCTATTTCTGATGTATACACTCCTGTGCATGAAGTCGACATCGAACGGGCAGTTGCAAGCAAACTCCTTTCCAAATATGCCTGAGGAATGGTCTTGTGCACGAGGGCCACTCCCACATGGATGCTTTGCGCCGCTTGAGCAAGTCTAGGAGCCGCAGGATCAACCTGATAGTTTTGGGCGTAATTTGGCGTGATAGTAATACTCATCTGACTAGTGTAAGTGTAGACATCGTATTGGGCAGTTCATATCTTTAACTTAGCTAGTTATGACTCGATCATTTCGTCCGCTCGATAAAGACAACATCGGTTAGTTTGGCAACCGGCCACCTCGTATGTCGAAGACAGGGTTGAAGAAGACGACGAGTTCTGAGTTGGTGGGTTCAGGTCGTCAACCGCAGTCGAACTTGACATGGTGCGCCTGCTACTCGTTAGATGCCCTGTTGAGGAATGGCTAGCTTTCATTGCCTGCAGAAGAGGCATGGCGCACTGTCCGCCCGCCCGTTACGCAGGTTGCAAAAGTTATCCCTGAAGTTAGAAGCGGCTGCAGATTGAATCCAACCTATGAGCCAACCATAGAATATGCAAAGAATGAGTCAGTAGCAGCAACTGCCGTCTTTGAGTTGAATGTCTGAATCATTCTGAAACAAACCGGAAAAGAACGGTCTCCCCCGACTAGAATCTAGCCTCGCCCATTGGAATGTCGGCTGGGGACTCTGCCAGAGGTGGTGCAAAGCAGCCGCCTTGAAGTCGTGGGCACCACACCTGCCAGAAGCACAGAAGAGCCATTAGTGCCACCCAAAAGCCATTCTTAATCGTTCTGTCACGTGAGGTTTTTGCTTAATTCCAGACTACTGTCACGCAGTTGTTGCCTACCCTCGTCGACTCTTTCCCAGGAAGTTATAAGTATGTGAATAAGTGATTGCAAACTGCATGAGCCCAGTGATTGGTTGATTACCACGCAATGTCCACGCCTGAAAGAGCTCGTGCTTCTTGCCAGCGATGTCGCTGCCGTCAAACAGTATCTGGCCACAATCGGGCCACCAATAATGGCCATGACACACATGAGATATGAATGAATAGGTAGGTCAAGACTTCCTCGAAGTAAGTCGAGGTTTCTGGTTTTCGGGTTTCAAATTTATGTTCCATTGGTAGTGTTGGTCAATGACCTCACTCGTCGTGTTTCCTACCATTTACAGCTTACAATAGTATGCTACCAATAATACAGTCAGGCCGGCGTGGAAGTGCTTCTGGCCAGTGCACTCTGCTCGGGCGCGAGCGGCCATGACAGCCTCAGCCGGACAGGGCCAAACAGGCGGTCCATGAGCCGCTGCTAGTGTGAGTCATTGGAGGTGTTCTTCACGAACAGGTTGGGGTTCTTTTGATCTTTTACATACCAAACTGCTCTGGGGTTTGATGACTTCTGAATGCCTTAACGGTGAATCTTAGCCCCCGGCTGCAAACAAGTTGCTGGCCTGCGCGACTTTCAACCCAGAGCCACCAGACAGGTCCAGCGCCCTCCGAATTGATTTCACCTGAGTCAAGGAGTTTATTGACACGGCATCTTAAGGCCTCACATTAGTGGAAACATGTGGAAACCAAGTTCCCCTCCCCCAAAAAGGAAACGTTTCACGACTTACATAGTATGTTCCAAGGAACCTCAAGATTGTACTGCTTTTGAAGTGCAGCTGCCACAATTTGACCAACTTTGCTCGCCCCAATCTTTTTTTTTGGACTTTGCAGCTTTTCCGAATACGACACTCTTCTTAGGTGGCACGGTCAAATTGACAATGTTCTTTTCCACCAACTGTGCCAGGAAACCCACAAGGTAACAGATTGGTTGCATCATAGCCTGTTTGAACTCGTTCATCACTTGTGCATCTTTGCGAGATAATCTGGAAGATGTTGGCGTGAAGGTGAAACAAATTAGGTCCACCAAACTGGGTTCTGCGAATGTTGATGCAACCCAAGGCTTGTTGCCATCACACAAGTCTGAATTCCACACCGAGGACAGAGAACCCTGAAACTCTAAAGCATCATCCCAGAGTTTTGATTGCTGTAGGGTTCCCTTGCCGGAAATGACTACGTAGGCCCACTGAGCACCATACGCCTTTGAACCCCGCAGCAGCTCAACGCGGCCCCCTGGGCATGATACCGCGATGACCTTCTGGACCAGCTGGCGGAAAAACAGCAGTGCCTGTTCCTTGTCCTTCGGATTCCGTTTGGTGTTGGTGATTGATGTCAACAAGGTGGAAAATACCATGGATGTTGGTATGGTTGTCTCATGGAAAATCTGGGAATCCTCTCTGTTTCTTTTTTTGTTGGGCTTATGCTTGCTTTCCAACAACTCAGGTACCCGGTCGTCGGGCCAAATCAGTGAATGTGTTGTCTTCACTGTCTCCAAAAATGCACTGATTCGTTTTCTCCATTCAGTGGGACGTTCATGCGACCAGACACGCGCGGCAATTGCTGAGAGTGCCCATTCCGATTGAACACCACTGTTTTTCTTGGCCACGTAGATAGGAACCCCGGAGCTGATCAGTTCATTGTTTAAGACAAAGACCCGGCACGAAGAAAACGTGTGTTCGGTCATCTCCGCAGCCGGACCATTGGATCAATTGATCAACTAAAGATTCTGAAACTACCTATCTTGTCTTGGATGTTTGATCTGCGTTGTCCTGTGACCTTGTCAATGCCGCCATTGGCGGTTGGCTTGTGAAAACCTCTAAGATGCTAGTATGTTAAGTAGTTAGTTGACCTGACCTTTTAGTCAATAATTATTCTGCCAGGCTCATACTCATACATAGTCTAAGCATGTCTAAGCCAAAATGGCTTTCGAGAGAGTTAGAACATTTCAGAGCAGATCAAAGAAGTTGAGAGCAGTTGAGAGCCTTCCATAAAGCAAAATAGCTCTCTCCAGTGACTCTGGACTACTCTCAACTGCTCAGAGTGATTGAAAGTCATTCTGAGTCTCTCCTGTTCTCTCCTGTTCTCTTCTGTTCTCTCCTGTTCTCTCCTGTTCTCTCCTGTGCTCTCCTGTTCTGTCCCAGTCTCTCCTGCCACTCGATCACTTTTTGTCAAAAATCTTGTTTGCTCTCAGAGTAGAACTGAGATTCCTCGTTTTGCCGCCCCCTGTTTGCCGCCTACTGTTTGTGACCCTATGATAATTACATTACATGACGTACATTACAATACATTAAATACCTACCACAACACAACCCAACACAATGCTTCGCTACGCTACGCTACACTGCATACATACATTACATCCCATTCGATTAAGTTCCATTATATCAAATTCAATTACATTACATTACATCCATACCCTATTGTCCTCAACATCTATATACATTATCTGCAAAGGTGCCAAAAATCTCTATTGGTAGGGGTCTGAGCTGCTGCTGAAGCTGTGCAAAGCAACGTTCCGAAACGGATTTCTTTTTGTGCAACACAGCCGTGCAAAGCTGAAGGCACTTGAGCCCCAATAGGCCAAAAAAGCTCCGAAAGGCAAAACCACAGAAATTAGACTTAAAGCGTCTGCACTAGGTCCAGGAAAGCCACGCAAGTAAGACACTTGTCTGGCTGAGCATCGTTTTGGTGTTGGCAGGAGCTGCTCCTGCCTTGAGAATACAGCAGAAAAGTTCTCCTTGATGACCTCAAAGACTGTTCCCAGGTGAAACCACGGCGCAAAACTGGTTCCAGCTTCCAAATAGCCTGGAGCAAACAAAGGACCATTCAAAGCACTAGGCACGAAAGTGTTGCACTCATTATGAGCTATTGTTCTTGCCTGACGCTTGACTGAGGAAACAAAGTTGAGTTGCATAGTCTGCATGGTGCCATATCCAACACTACATGCAAAAGGAGCGGAATGAATTGGTAAAATAAAAAACAAAACTGATAAATAACTAAAACTGCACAAGTTTGTGTCCTGTGATGTTCTTGGTCACAAACTCCCGAGCTGCGTGTTCCGCCACCCTAATCCTTCGCTCAACAGAAGGCAAGTCGTCCGGCCTGAGATGAACACAATCTATCTCAAGCGCTGTCCTTTCACTGCTTTTCTATCTCAATCTGTGCATAAAAAGCACCAATTCCAGGCCAGGAGGCTGCAGCTGCTTTATTTCGTGCGCCAACCTTGCAAAGACAATACTGCCTGAGTCGCGGCTTCGGGTGCAGCTGTGACGTGCAAAAGAATATCAACAGCTGCTGAAACCGACTTATGAATACTCAGGATCTCACATCATCAGAACCGTTTGGCAAAAGTTGCAAATGTAAAGCACATCCAAAAAGAAGGTACCCTCTTAGGTATCATCAGAACATCCTTCTATGGGTTACACACAGCAATAAAGTTAAGTTCAATGCACTTATATATACGTACATGACCAACGCTATATACGTACATGACCAACGCTCCTTCCCCGGAAGTCCTAAAACAAAGCCACGCAGCGAAATGCTGAAGGGCAGACTGCCCATGTGTTCATTTTGTTTGCTCCAAGCAGAACGTTGAAGTCCATGGTCTGCATGAGTAGAAGTACACCAAAAGCACTTCGGACAGAATTTTCAATGTTGAAAGCATGTTCCAAGTCGTTATCCAATTGATCTTGAACTGAGCAGGCCTCGTACGGCATTCGCATGCGAACAAAGGCCAAGAGCATTGCGCAACTCTGCTTACCTTGAAATCCACAGAACAAAGCACAGCTGGCGCAGCTTTGCAGCACAAAACCAAAAATGCAAGAGTTTTGAGATCCCATGCATTGGGATTTTGCGGTGAAAGAACAAAGGTCGTGCCGAGAACACAAGGTTTGGAGGAGAGCAGGAGTAGGGGTGGCCGCTCCATCCACTCGCTGGGCTGTAACCCTACACAAGACTCCCAAACCAAAAGCAGTTGATGATTGGAACCTTTTCGCAAAATGCCCCTGACAGTTTGAAGATGTTCAGCAAAGCTTCACCATTCTGTGGTTGCTGAGCTTCTTGGTACAGAGTTGCACTGCTCCCCAGTCACTTGACCATGTGTCAGTGTCAACCTCGGAGCGTGGACTGCGAAAGCGAAACAACTGAAAATTTACCAGATTGAAGCTCGCCCACTCTCGAACCCACAGAGGCGTTGCATATATTATATAATGGAACGAGTGGATGCAAGAAATATCAAGAAACTTGCCATTTTGCATGAAAGAATCGATTAGACTTATGCTGGAAGGGGTAGCAGCGAATCAGCACTGGAAAAAACATTAAGCCACAGAAAGCCTTTAAGAACCAAAATGCCAATGATCGTCGCGCAAAAACTGTCTTCCGTGCATTTGCGTTCAGCAATCCTCTGCCATTTCGTTGTCCTTAACTTTGGTGCGTATATAGCTGCCCGCGGGTTGATGCGTCGCCTGGCGTTTTTGGAGGCATGTTTACATTTTGGTTGTCAAGATTGCAAAACATGTTCCCACAAACTCATCATCGGTTGTACACATGGGAGAAGGGGTGCGGGTGGTCCCTTAGGGTCGAACACGGTGTCGAGAACGGTCGCGAGTATGTATTGCAAGCGCAGTGCCAATGCAGTGCGCGAAAGCACTCAAGCGGACTGTTTTCCTGAGCCAATGGCATCAGTTGACATGTGCGAAACTGATGACAGTATAAAGGTTGAGCAGCTGGGTAGAAGCAACACAGGTGCTGGCGCACACGCCGCACATACAGCAACATAAATGAAAGGACACAAGTGGAAGCACAAGTGAGTGCACATATATGAAGTGGTGCAAATTTCGTTGCGCTGGAGGTCGGAAATCAAAAGCCACCAGACTCAGAGGAACAAAAAGGATCATCATCCAAAACTACACACCCCATTGCCCCATCAATGAAGGGCACCCACCAGACAAAATTTATCTTTTAGCTAGCTATAAAATATTTGTGGGCAGCACCATAGCAACGGCACCTGCAGCGGCACCAACAACCAGGCTGCAAAGTGCACGCAGCCACAGACATCTCGCAGAAGCACCCAGGAACGGCACCGTGGCACCAACATCCAAGCTCTATATATATATATACGCATCTGGCAGCGGCACCCTAGCGGCACCAGCACTCAAGCTCCAAAGCGCACATGCACACATCTGGTGGCGGCACCGTGCGGCGGAACCAGCACCCAGGCACAGGCATCTCTTTCTATACTTGAAGTAACAACCCCAATAGCTCTCACTATCTGGTGAATTATGAAATTTGCTAACCTCACGCTTTTTGACCAATGGACCACGAGGCGGAAAAGGACAAGGGGACAAAAGTACCAGAGGCCCAAGCACCATGGAACAAATGGAGTCCCCCGTGAGAATAATAGCGTTTTGAATCATTGTCTGTTGCAGCGCATCTAAGCATTTCGTTCAAAACGTTTCACTCTAACTACATTGCGCCAGTTGCTAGCTTGTGAGGCTGACACAAGCGTGGTGGGCATGCTTCAAGAACCCCTATCCAGGATATCTTCAGTGACCACCGACCACGCACCAAAGTCGTCTTGACCGAAAAAAACAATGACTATATAATCTGCTAGATGCTACTAGCTGCGTGTATAGATATGTGTATATATATACCCTTTGCTCTGCTAGGCTTGGAACCAAGTCAATGCGACCACTCGCATCGCTCCATCCATAACCACATGGCTTTCGGGAACTCGCTTGGTGAGAGAGTGAATATAACTTTCACGCTGGCAAAAGCTGCATCGAGCCAAATATGTGCAGTCAGTGGTTCCAAAACTTTGACTGGTGACTGCAAGCACCAGCTGGCTAAACAGAGTTCAACGTGTTGGTTACAGGATCGGGCAAGAATTCCGATTCTGAGCTGAGCTTTGGTGGCGATGTCCTTTGCATGTTACCATTCCTGTCCATGTTCACAGCCTCCCAGCGCTTCGGCTTCTGTGAGCTGCGAATCAAGTGCACTGTTAAAGTGAAACAATGGCTGCTAGTCGACAGCTTCAGCAGTCTGCCTGCAGCAACACGTTTGCAACTTTGCACTTTGATCCCCACAAAGATTTGGGGTACTTGGCAACATGCCGCAGTCTCGTGCATCTTCTTGTTAGGTGGCAGCTACCCAAAAAGGAAACAGAACGGGAAACCCTGGAAGTGCACTTGTTCTGCAGTTTTTTGAAAAATAATTCACCTCAGTAATTTCAAACTGCAAGTGTACTGCCAAAAAGCCTCAGCCAGACTCTTTAGGGGACCTCCTGCAAAACCAATAAGACAATCTACGCAAGCTCCTTTCGGGCCAGCCTGTCATCTAGTTTTGTTCTGTTCTTGTTGCATTTTTCCGAATGCGTAGCGAAAGGTTCTCGTTCATCTCTGGGGGCCTTGGGGTAAAGCCGGTAAAGCTGTGTTCGCGCGACGCTTCTTTCGCATTCACAACCGGCTGCAAGTGACCGAATGCAATCGATGGAACAGGTTTTGGATGGAAGCCGGAAGTGTCGGTAGAAACATAACATGTTGTAGTGTGGAGGATGACTTTGTTGCACATTTGCAGCGCTTCGTGCGATCCTTGCACCATTGGGATTGGCGTCCCCAAACTGGTCTTTTCGAGGTGTCGAGCGTCGCAGTGCCATTGGGATTCGCTTTTCAGGCCCTTGCCTCGAAACTGTGTTTTCGTGACAGAGGTCAAAGCTGACATTTGTGATCTTGGTTGATGTGAGTGTGCTCCGACAAGTGTCAAAATCAATCCAAACATGTGGTGTGGCGCGAATTTTGCTAAAACAAGATGTGGCAGGACAGCACTTCGTGCTTGTTGGAAGTGTGGAACTTGCGTTTTCGTGGCAGGCACAGGGAATCGTGAGGCTCGGACGTTGGGATGCACGGGCGGTTTTGAGGGGTGGAAAGTGCATGCACGTCGCTCCGTGCCATTGGGGAAGGGAAACATGCATGATGATTGGCGGTGTCATGTCACATGGCATCTGTCTTTGTGGTGCATGGCGCGGCGAAATTACGCTCCTGATGTCACTGGGCCATGCGGTTTGGCAGCCTTTGCATGGCTCTGTTGTAAACGTGTCGCTGGTGAGGGGGATGATTTGCGGTCGCCAGAGAGTGTCCCACAAGAGTCTCCGACAAGAGTGTCACACAAAAGGGGCGTACGAGCATCTCTGACAAGAGTGTCCCACGCGACTGTCACACAAGAGAGTGCCCTACAAGAGTGTCCCACAAGCGTGTCTCACAAAAGTGTCCCACAAGAGTGCCCCGCAGAGTGTCCCACAAGAGTCAGTGTCCCACAACAGAATGTCCCCCCACGAGAGCGTCCTACAAGAGCGTCCGACAAGAGTGTCCTACACGAGTGTCCCAAGAAGAGTTTCCCACAAGAGTGCATTCGCGTTTCTGGGCTCAAAGGAACGCCGTTCGTTTTTTCTAATGTATTTCTCTTGGAAGCCACCTCTTCTCAGTCCAAG